CTGAGTTCAAAATTGTTACCTCATCAAATTATAATAAAATTGAATGGTATATTTTATAATAATTGTCATTATAATCTATATAGGAACTTGTAACACCTATAAAGTATTATCGGGTAGGTCAAATTTTTGAATTTTGTTAGTAAATTTTTGTTATTTAGGGAGTCATGTTGTACATTCAGGACAATTAAATCACATTCAGAGCCCAACTGACAGCATTTTAACATGCGAGGTGGTCATCATAGTAAAAAAAAAATACTTCAAAATATTTTCACAGTTTTAAATGTTTGTACAATTTTTTTTTTTTTGTCTAATATTTATATACTTTCAATGATCGTGTAACCCCTACCTACCTCTGACTATGTAGGTAGACATGTATGTATTATTTTTTTACCTACCTTAATATATTTTGTTTACTTAATACTTGCATAACATTTTAAACAGGTTGAATTAGTTAAATTATAAATGTGTAAAAAAATATTATTTATAAACCACTGCTGATGTAGGTAGTAATGTAGTGTACCTACAAATATAAAATTGAAAATAACAACAGGGCTCAATCAGTCATCGATGAACTAGACTACCAAACTAGACGTCCAAAATTGTTTTTGCACCATTCATGTGAAGTTACAACAATTTCTTTAATTGGTTTTTAAACCGTTAGCTTCATAGTAGCTACCATTCCATATATTATTAAAATAGTCATTGGACACTAGTTCAATTCGTTCCTCTAAAAATAGTTATGTCTTTATTAAAAATACAATACATAATATATTAATGTTAGAGCATGACATTTTAGTAAGGTACCTACCTATTTTAATTAATAATCTTATGTTTTAGTAAAAATAAAACATTTAAGTAAGATTGGTATTTTGTTTCTATGTTAGGAAGAACCTAGACAATCTTTTTAGCTAACACAAAAGGTGTGTACAAGTACAATACACTTAGTCCAGTAAGAAATGTTCACTCTGAGGTAGGTATAGGTACCTACTAAAGTAAAAAATAAAAATAACTGTGTAGAGATCACATTCTACATTAATTTATTGAATTATAATAACATAATAATATTGTTTAATATTAGTTAGGTACCTTTTCCTACTAAATAGTTATTTTCAAAATTTAAAATTCCAATAGTTTTAAAAGCGCTAAGAATAACGAAATAGGAATTTTTAAGCAAAATCAGTTTTTAACAAAATCAATTTTTTTTATAACTAAAATAAATACCTATCAGTAGATACATGAAATTTTCACTGAATGTTTATACTAGCATTAATTTCTGAAAACGATAAAATTCACAAGATCAATATATTTTGAGTTGTTTCCAGCTTGTAACAATGACATTCGAAGAATATTAAATATACAGTCACAATTTTTTCTTATAAGCATTTAAAGTTCAAATTTTGACAAAATACGAAAATGTGCAAATTATTTTGAGTTAAAAATACATAAAAATTTTATTTTTAAATCTAACATTAGAAAATTTAATACAAGATTCTTCATAAGTACGTCTACCTTTATCAAAAAAAAAGTATCTACCGGAAAGTCAAATTAAATTTTTACATCATTGGATATTCTCTCGATTTCTCATGTTGACATGTAGCGATTTTCTTATTTTGTTGTATAATTCAAACACGAATAACTGTAGATACTTGAATTTTACAGCATATAACAACTTATCAATTCCCTTACTTAATAATATGTACAAAATATTTTGACCTGTTTTGAGCTGTTTACTACGGACATTTTAATTTTTTTTAGTTTTTTTTTTTCTTTAACTGTCAATAAATTGTCATTTGTTGGGCCAAAAAGCATCAACATTTAATACAATGCTCCTGCTATATTTTTATTTTACCAGTTGAAAAATTTTTAAAATACATACAAGCAAATTTTTTTTTATAAGTATTGAAAGTTCGAATTTTCACAAAATGTGTCGAATTTTTAATTTTAAAATTATGTTATAGTTACTAGTTAAAAATGTATAAAATGTTTAGCTTTTATAGCCAAGGATTGACAATTTAAAACAATGTTCCACGTAAATAGGTAAATAAATTACTTTATTCACAAAAATATCATCAAAAATAATATAGGTACCTATACTTAGTAATATTATAGCCTGACTGACTATCTTCGCTCAGAATCGTTTTTCTTATACAATGATGTTATATCATTGAATTCAAATTTAACACTATCTATTCCAGATTACAGTGATCCAATTGTGACCTACTGTACAGCAGAGAGACATCCACTTTCCCACCTTTTTTTGTTTGAGCACCCCCTGTTAAAATCTTCTGGATCCGCGCCTGTCCACCGTGTACCTACATATCGTACATAGGTAGGTAACTGAACAGTTGTAATTTTTGTCAGTATAGTTCGACATTCCGTAAGTGCCTGAAAAAATGTCAGAAATCATACAAATCAACGAAAAGGCACCAAAATAGTTGTGAGTGGTTATGCATATACCCTTCAACATACATTATCAAAAACAAAAAGGTGGAAATGTAGCAAGAAAACAAAGTATAATTACCCGGGAATACTATCTTCATCGCGGGTCTTAACGAATCCTGTACTTGAAATTGAGCACAACCACGCAGGGAATAATCAAATTCAAATAATTGAAAACTTTAAAATCGACATCAAATCAAGATCACGAAAAACTTGTGACAAACCGAGTCAGATATTTTCGGAAGCTGTAAGTCAAATTCAAATACCAGCTGAAGCTCTATTGTTCTTACCAAAAGAAAGTGTAGTAAAACGAACAATTAGAAATCAAAGAACTAACATTAATCCTGCATTAAATTGCATAAATGATATTGTTATTGAAGGTAAATACAATTTATTGTTATAATATATAGATAGCCATAATTTTTTGTTATAGCCTTACCTAATTTTTCAGATGACTGGGTTTTAGTTAATGGAAAACAGTTTTTATTGGCTGATAATAAATGAACGAATTGTATTGTTTGCAACAGCTTAAAAATGTTGACAGAGGCCAAAACGTGGTATTGCGATGGTAATTTTAACCTTAGTCCTAAATACTTTTTACAACTTTATGTTATAAGAGTTCAAAAAAATGATTCGTATATAACTGCAGTGTACTGTCTTCTTGAACGCAAGACAATGTCTATTTATGAAGAAATGTTCAAACTTATTTTAAATAAATGTGAAGAGCACGAATTATTTCCCGATCCAACCCACTTAAATGTTGATTTTGAAAAAGCTCTAATTTCTGCCGCTCAAACAATTTTTGATTCAAATTTGACTATAAGAGGCTGTTTTTATCATTTGTGAAAAAGTTCTTACAGAAAAATCCAAGATATAGGTTTAGTCAAAATGTATAAAAATAACGACGAATTTAGTCATTTTTGTGCAATGTTGGACGGCCTTGCATTTCTTCCTCTTGAACATGTTTTCGAAGGAATGGCTTACCTTAAAAAATTTTTTTCTCCTGAAGCAGAAGATCTTTTAAATTATTTTGACTCAATCTACGTAAATGGACCACTTAGAAAAGTAGGGGCTGGTACCAAATTCAAATTTAAAAAAATAAGTCCACTTTTTCCACCTAATACTTGGAATGTACATAAAACAACGATGAATGGTGACCACTGAACGAATAATATATGTGAATCGTGGAATAACAGATCATTTAGTCATTTAGTTGGCCACAGTCATCCGACTATTTTTACACTTATTCAAAAAATGAGATTGGAAGTAGCGGCAGATAAAGCGAAATTAGCTATCGACAACATGGGAGAAAAAAAAAATTCAACACATATCCGACTAGTTACTTTATGACAAAGAATATCTAATCATTCAATTACCATTGAAGAATTTTTAGAAAAAGTTGGTCATAATATCAGAACAAGGCCTAGATAAACATTATAATTATTTCGATTTTTTTTTAAATATATTATTTTAAATATTTTTATGCATATATATATAAACCGTAATAATAACAAAATTATTTTGTTTTTAAATATTATTTTTTTGACGACAGTTGATTGACAGTTACTGATTAATTTATAATTCATAATACCTACTAGATAAACTTTATAACCATTGAATTTTTTTTGTAAATATATTAATAATACTAGATGCGTAGTGTCAATATTAGTAGGTATGTAATAATTATTTCGATTTTTTTTTAGGTTATGATACTAACTACATAATATTATTATCATTGAATTTTTTTGTACCTATAATATTTTATATGACGATAGTTAATACTCAATTTAATTAATTAATTGATATATCATGTATATTTTATGTTATTATACTATAAGTACATAATTATAATCATTGAATATAAATATTGTTATGTATATACTATGTAATATAATATTCACCGGACTTTTTTGGCTTAGGACTTATTTACGGCGGACTTTTTATGCCTCGAACCAGGCCCGTATACAGGGGGGGTTTTAGGGGTTCAAACCCCCCCCGAAATTTTTAAAGTAGGTATATATTTATAATATAGGTAATAAAAACTAACTACATACGTCTTTATATATAAATGTATAATGTACAACTACAGACTACAGTTTATTTTAAGCATTTGTAAATTTCCCTCTAGTCATTACACGTTATCTTTTTTAGAAAATAGCAAACGGATACTTAATACTTATATATTAACTTTTATTCCTATTTATGACGCATCAGGAAAAGGATTAGCCCGTACAATAATGATTGAAATAGACAAATTAGGTTTAAAAAAGGAAAATTTAGTTGGTGAAGGCTATGATGGAGCTTCTTCGATGAGTGGTATATTTAATGGAGTTCAAAAAAATATATGCGATATAACACCTCACGCTTCATACGTTCATTGCGCCGCCCATTCGTTAAACCTCGCCATTAGTAAATCATGTAACATTCCTGAAATAAGAAATTGTATTGGATCTATATCTACAATAACTTCATTTTTTCGAAAATCACCAATAAGGTCAGAAGTTCTTAAAAAGTTCATAAAAGACTTAATTCCATGCACACGCCACCAAACATTTTTAAAAATGTGTGAAACTCGTTGGGTTGAACGCCACGACAGCTTGTTACGGTTTAAAGAACTATATTTACCAATAACTAACACATTAAGGGAACTTGAACAGCATCATAATTTAGAAACATCAAAACTTGCATTTCAACTTTCAAAAACTATCACCTCAAGTTCGTTTGTAATTTCATTGTACATTATAGAAAAAATATTTGCTATAACATTGCCTTTATGTAAATCTTTACAACAAATAAATGTAGATTTATCTGAGTGTTGTCAATATGTCAATAACTGTGTGAAAGTTATTAATTCAATTCATGAAAATAGTGAGGAAGAATTCCACAAATTATTTTTAGATGTCGAAAATGTATTAAGCTTAGTAGATGAAACGGTTAAAATGCCACGATTAATTAGGCAATCTACCTATCGTAACAATATTCCGGCAGATTCGCCAGAACAGTATTATAGGAGATCAATTTTTTTGCCATTTTTAGACTACTTCAAAAGTCAATTAATTGAAAGATTTATAAAACACAATTACATTATTTCTGGGCTGCAAAATTTGATTCCAAGTTTTTTAATTAAATTAAAACCAAGTAGCAATGAGTTTAAAAAATGCATTGATTTTTACAAAAGCTTTTTAGCGACTTATGAAACTTTTGAATCAGAATTGAAGGTGTGGGTGGAAAAATGGAAATAGGTACCCGATAACGAACTTCCTAAATCTGCAATCGATACTTTAGGCGTCATGTCGAAAGACTTTTATCCAAACATTTGGTGTTTAATATCTATACTTGCAACACTCCCGGTGTCCACTTCATCTGCAGAACGTTCTTTTTCAACTTTAAGACGATTAAAAACCTATTTGAGGAATAGCTGCAGTGAAGATCGTCTAACAGGTTTAGCTTTATTGTCAGTCCACCGAGGTATCCAAATAGATATTGAAGAAATAATCAATACATTTTCCAGAATGCCACGTAAAGTTGACTTTGTTTTATGAATTAAAATTGTAGGTATTCAACCATTTTTTTAAATTATTTATATTTTGTATACATTATTATATTATGTTTTGTAGTGCATAATATTATCTATCAAATTATACTATAATTATGTATTTTTAGTTCATGCGTGTTAAATATTTTTTACAACCATTTTTTTTAAATTATTTATATATTGTATACATTATTACATTATAATATTTCGTAGTGTATAATATTATTGATCAAATTATAATATAACTATTAACTATGTATTTTTAGTTCATGTATTAAAAATATTTTAACCCCCCCCCGAAAATTGATCCTGGATACGTGCTTGCCTCGAACTTTTTTACCCGGACTTTTTTTCCTAGGACTTTTTTACCTCGATTCTTATTGCACAGAGGGGAGGTAGGGGTACACTTATAAACAGTAATAAGTGTGTACATTATGTACAACCTTGACTTGTACTGCGTAGATAAGTTTTGGAAAACACTGTCTTATTTTTAGCATTATAAAGCATTTAAGCAATGCATAGGTATGCCGGTATGCGTATGTTATTGCAATTTTGCATTCAAGTAAAAACGGTTGATGATATTAAACATCACCTTTTATTCAATACTAATATTAGTAAATTAATCTTAATCATAACAATAGGCTTATCACAGTCTACGTTGATGTATTTAAAGTTTGAACAGTCCATAATCGGATATCCCATTTAAATCATTAGTAGGTACTGTAGTCTGCGTATAATGATCCTTATTACTAAAATATATTTTATTGACGTAAACTACATTATAATATTATTAATATTCACAGTTTCCGTCATTTCCATATTTTAGAAATAACAGAATAGATCAAAGTTCATTAGTTCAACAAACATAAATAGATTAATATTTAATACACTTCATCCATACTAAAAATAGTGTGGCATGATTTAATGATTATAACAAGGTGAAACGATGAGCAAAAATATAGGCAACGTGAACAGTTTATAAGATAATAGAAAACATTGTTTAGTTATTATTAAAACTTAAAAGGAACTCGTAACCACTTTTGTGTAATAGGTAACCGTCTTACTAACGCATAATATACCAAAATGTACGTCCAGCAGTTGCAATTCTTTGTTGTTAGCTTAAAATTAAAATGTTAGAATGAATTGACTTTTTATCAAACTTAAATGTGACCATGTAAGAACATTCTCTGTGTTCTCTCGTTTTTTTTGTGGCATTTTAATTTTTGAGTGAGTTATGAGTAGGTAGGTATTGTAAAAATTTTAAAATGTTTATATTTATTCATTTCAAAATTAAAATATCATAAAAAACCAACGAGAGAACACACATGTTCTAACATTTATGTTTGATAATAACTAATAAGCTCATTTCACTCTAATACCTCCGTAAAGTAACAATTCAAAATTTGAACTGCTGAACGTACATTTTGGTCGCGTCCACAATACTCACTGTCAATACTCAATAGTACCATTTTTTTTAACTATATTTAGTTTTAGCATCTAATATCTATAGCTAGCTAAAGTAACTTGTAAGACAAAATATCCAACAAACTTTCTTAATACAAAATTTGAATTCAAAACAATTTTGAACTTAAATCTTTTTTGAAATAATTTTATCTGATGATTCATACCATGTTTATGAGATTGGGCTCTAGTTATAGTTATGATATTAAGTGTAAACGGAATAAAATTACCTAAGTAAAATTTAATTTAGGTAAATGTTGTAAAGTACTTTACTTTACTTTACGAAAGTACTTACTACGAAAGTATTATTTCGGAGCAATATTGCTCCTTCAAAATTGTTGATTGGTCGGTACAGGTCCACCTGCCACAAAATGCCTAGCCACTTAAGCTATATCGTAGAATTAATATCATATCTGATTATACAAATCGTTACAAATGTATGCATATTTTGTAAATTTTTAATTTAAACTTTTTTGCTGAGTTGGAAATGCCATTATAGACATCAAGGGGGTGGATGGGTAACTTGTATACATTTTTGCTTCTCACCAAAAATGAGTTAAACGCGCCACTGAGACAGACTGACACTGCATAGACCATCTGAATTTAAAAGCGTTCCATATTAATTTGTACTTCGTAGCCTTGTAGCCTGTATCTCTATTTAAAATATACGACTTAAAGTATATATTCTATTAAATCGGGGTGCACCCACATAGACAAATATTGAATTTTTTTCTTAAATTCTAAAGGATCCAAGAAAGAGCAGGAACTACAACAAAATCTAAAAATAAACTAATCTGTACACTAATTGTATCCACAGGCGTGCTCTTGCTGCCCCTGAACAGTTCAATTCGATTTGTAAGGGCCGAACAGGTTCAACTGTCCGTATTTGCAAGATGGACCACCATAATACCGTATAATACTCAATAATAAAAGATAAGTTATTTATCCATAATTATTATGATACTGATTTCATCACTAACCGTCCCCCAGGTAATTTATAGCGGCGATTCACGATTCCGCATATACAGGGCCGCAGTGGCGTATCCAGGATTTTTTTTAGGGGGGGGCACACACTGTCTAAAATTTTACCATATAAAATACTAACTAAAATACCACCAAAAACAAAAAAAATAAAATGTAACAATTGCATTTAACGGAAGATCATTTTCGTATATTTTTGCAGCCTCTAAAATAGTTTTAGTATCATATTTATTGAAATGTGATGGGATTAACCCTTCAAGTGGAATAATTTCTCTTAACCTTTGATCAAATCGAGTCCTTAATTCACATATAATTTGGTCTAGAAATGGAATGAATATAGTTATTTTGTAATAATCTTCCGGATTTGTAACGTTCACATTAGCTCTTTGATTTTGTTTGCCACAAACTCGAGGTATTTTAATATCGACGTCTATTTTAGAACCAATCTTAAGTACTTCACTAAATATATTTTTGAAATGACTATCAACATTTTTACGAATAGATTCTAAAGATGCTCGTACAGTTACAACTTCATTTAGTGCTTTTGATAAGTCTTGTTGTTTACTTTGAAGAATTTGACTTAAATTTAATGTATAAGAAACGGAGACCGTTAAACTGTCCGTGTCACCAAAACAGCTGTGTAACTATTCACTGGCGCCCTTTGGAACTAGAACCCCGTTAGTGAAACGTGATAACGGTAATAGTGATTACTGAATACTGGTATATTAAGGCATAAGATAAGCGTATTATTGAAGTATGCGTTCATTGCGTTCATGTATATGAATACATTTAAATCTTTAAAACAAAATCTAGTAAATACGGCCAACGAGGGGGGGGCATGGCCCCTGTGCCCCCCCCCCCTGGATACGCCACTGCAGGGCCGTCCTGTAGAGGAGCGTGTGGTGTTTGATATTGTGCCGCTAGGTCGACAATTTAACAATTTTGAATTAAATAATTTACTAAGCATTTTATAGACGAAAAAAATCATTTAATTTTAATTAATATATTTTATTATTATAATTTATATTTTATATAGGTAGTTCTATATTATATATATTATATTATAGTATACGGACAAAAGGTGTACTTTCTGGACTCACCAGTTACCTGTTCGATTACTATAAGGTATAATACGTTTATTGCGATCACATTTTTGTATTTTACTGTTGACTTACAAATTTTATTCCATGTGAGTTTAAAATTAAAATTATGTAAAATTATTTATACATAAAAATGAAACTACTATATTATTATTCACATTTATCATAAATCGTATAAGTCGTGGAGATTAAGGGAACCAATTGAAATAAATTGTTCTATGTACTGCTATTTTGATTAAAGACAAATCAGTAGATTCATTTTTTCTAAATTCAAATATTATTATAAATAAAATTAAGGCCTGGTTTGATAATAATCTATAAGAAATAAACCTATAGACAAATCGAAATATATTTATTTTAGCATACATGATACATCCATAGGCGCAATTTGGGGGGTCTAGGGGGGCTTAGCCTATTTATTTTGTTTTTATTGTAATCGATGTATTAAATATTGTAAGATATTATGTTATAATATGTACAAAAATAAATTATTATTATATACTTTATTTTTTATTACTTGTTTTATTTAATATTATTGTATATATTTTTTTAGCATAACTGACGACGTCGCAATAATTTTTATGCTGATATGTGTTACATTCCGGTTAGATGAAAAACATTTTATTACGAAAATGTGCGGAATCTGCAGGTAGATAAAAAGGTATAATGTACTGAATTGTGTGTTACTCATTTATAGGCCGTAGTTAGTATGTAAAAATGTCCGCTGCCTCTAATACTTGAAACTCTGAGCACGCCTATGCTTGTAGAGTTGTACTTTCTATGACCTACATGTGAACCCTCGATAACTCGAATCGGTTAGGGGTGAAGAATAAAATCTAGTTATAGAAAAAATTGTGTGTATGTATACTTATTGAAATTCGGGGGCGAAGATATTCCTTCGAGTTATCGAAAACCTGACTTATATATATAGACGTTCGAGTTATCGAGGTTTCACTGTACTGTTGTATTATGCATAATATATAAAAAATATTGTTAACTAGGTTAAGTAAACATTCATATGTAACGGGAAAAATACCAAAACAATATCAATTATTATGTAATACAATAACAATTAGTATAATTTTAAGCATAGTCAGTAAGTATAAGTAGTGCTTCGATTGTAATATTTATATATAAGTAATATGGGAAGACAGAGAGATAGTCAGAGTGTGGTAACTGGTGATCGTGTGACTCGATTACCACTGGGGGCATCCGAGTTTAATAAAGTGCTTATATTATTATTTGTTTGTCTATTTGTGTACGTCTGTGATCGACGTATACGACTTTACCTATACATCATAATATCTGTTCCAAGATGCACTGTCACAATAACTCATAACCCGTCAACCCACACAGTGGTAAATTTATATTAAATATACAAAAACCATTTTATCAACTTTATTTAATATTGTAATTATATGTTGATATTTTCGTAGTATTTTAAATTATTTAAAATCAGTTATCA